GACTGAAGGCAAAGAGATGAGGCCAGAAAACAAGAGCCGGGGCTTATCTGAGTCAAGTTTGGGTTTACTGTCTCAGCCCTGGCTGTGCTTCAGAGTCCCCTCAGGTGCCTTTGTAAAAGCACATTCCTAAGGTGGTGTAGGGTGGGCCTGGTCATCTGTATTTTAAGCCCTCATTTGATTCTGATGTTCTGCCAAAGTAAAGAACTCTCTGGTCTTACCTAATGCATCCGTAAGAGTTCAAACACAAGAAGTGCCCCGAGAGAGTAGTGTCTGATGGTTCCCCAGTAGTCTGCTTTTGCCAGTGTCCTGCCTAGGGTTTCTCCCCCGGCCCCAGCCATCCTCCCCCACACCGCGCTTGGCAGCCTCCCAGCCTGGACCTGAGCTCCTCGATGATGTTGGCTGACAGCTGTTGCTCCCGGATGCGCCCCACCTCCTGAGGTGGCTGTCCCACCAGTTCAATGATGGTCACATGCCGCAAATCCAGTCCACAGGTGGATTGCTGGGAGGGAGAGAGAACATTTTACACAACAGGGCTGTGCGTTCAAACCTAAGGCTACTTGACTGATTCCTCGTGGGACCACATGAAGCAGTGTGGGAAAGGAGCCCCTTCTCCCCCAGTGATCACGTAATCACGCTGTGGGGTCTACAACAACCTGTTCCCTGTGTCATTCCGGAAGTACTTGCCCCAACGGTGCTTCCTTCATTCTACTGAAACCAGTTACACAAAGTGGGATAGAGAAGAGAAATTCAATGACTAAATTGCAGGAACATAATCATTGTTTAAGTTTGCATAGGTTTTAAATTACGTAAGTTCTTAATGAATAGCCAATGTGATATGATAATGGCTGTCGTTTATTGAATACACAAACCTAATGCTTTGTAGACGTAATCTAATCCTCACAACACCCCTCACAAGCCAGGTGGTGACAATAACATGCTGAGCCAAGATTCAAACTGAGGACTGATGCCCCCTGCCCAAGCATGTGCTCTTTACCAATAGGCTACCTGGCCAGGGCCTTCGCTCAGTCTCCAGGATTTCTCCAAAACTGTGCCCAGTGCTCTTTTCATTACCCCTTGTTACCTTCCTCGCACTGGGCAGCGCAGCTTGCAGTCCAACCCCGGATCTCCGTCCTGCCTTGTCTTGCAGGATTACCTACTAGCCAGTTACCAGGGTGAGGTTTAAAGAGACCTTGAATACTCCCCGGCACCCCACCTCTGTTTCATCTTTGGGCTTCCCTTCTAGTCCTCACCCTCAGGGTCACTATGCTTGCTGACAGGTTCCTTTTCTTGTTCTTACTCCCTTGCTTCCAACTGAACTGTTGCCTTTGTCATCCTTTTTGGGTCTCTGGATGAATAAGGTCTTTTTGGTCTAGACCCTCCAGCTTTTTTTTTTTTTTTT